TGAAGTTGGTATTCACATTCTGCAGAAAGCCTTCAATGTTTTTTTACAAATCAGAGCGCAAAATAGAAGAAGGAACGAGAGAAGAATTATTCAAAGAATCCAATGTGCAGGGGCTAGTCTTGGCCAAGATGAAGTCTCAGATACATATTGGACAAGAATAAGAAAAAGGCTTATGGCTAAGCTGGAAGCAATGCACATTTTGGAACAAGAACAGTGAAAGGAATGACTTAGTCAAAGGAATATAATCACAGGTGATAGACTGACTAAAGATACTTTTCGACGCCTGTTACTATAAAAAGCCCACCCACAAATGAAGGCGTTGTCGCACCCGTTTTCCACTCTTTGAAGATTTGCATGAATTTGCTAGAATGTACTTTGAAGATATATTAACAACTCGTCGACCGTATGAAGACATGGACACCGACTTGAGAACAACAAGCAACTTTTGGAGCCGCTATCAGAAGCGGATCTCAACGAGGGCTCGCCTTGATATGGATAAACCATTGACAGTAGAGGAATTATCAGTGACAACCAATAGAATGGCAAAGGGCAAATGCCCGGGGGAAGACGGTCTCCCGATTGAGGTTTACCTGGCCCTATGGCCTCAGCTGGGTCCGACGTTAGTAAGTATATTTAATAATGCGCTCACAGGGGGTAAGCTTAACAAAAGTATGACGAAAGGGGTAATCTCTTTGCTATATAAAAAAGGCGATAAAAGAGAAATCCGAAATTCGCGACCAATCTCACTGCTGAACGCTTCATATAAACTGTTAGCAAAAGCCTTGGCCCTGCGACTAGCTAAATACATGCTAGACCTTATTGGAAAAGAACAAGGGGCCTTCGTTAAGCACAGAAGCATCTCCGAGAATATTATAGCTACTATTCAAGCTCTGGAAATCATCACAAAGGACAACCTAGACGTGGCAATACTCCTCCTTGATATGGAGAAGGCCTACGACCGTGTAGGCTGGTGTAGCGGACCCACCAGGTGTAGTGCTCCGCTAGTGACAGAGATGGAGATGGAGGAAGAAGGGGGAGCAATATGGCACAATGCAGCTCCCCACGCAAGACTCCAACGCACGTACTCCAAAATGTGCCCGTGAGGAATGAGACTGAAAACAGACAATGGCTGGGGTATACCCCAGCGGACTGACGGGACTGGACTGGACTGGCTGGTACCGACAGAGGTACCGGCCTGGACTGGCCTACCCCGAATGTAACACAGGCCTGTGAGAAC